TAGAAAAAAAATCTTCAAGGAGCAGAAGTCCAGGTTTATTTGAATATATATAAAAAGTCAAACTTGTATAAAATAAAGAGTGACCAAAGTTAAAAGACATCTCTTTAGCCTCAGAGTATGAAGAGTTAAGCCCTCAAAGCCACAAGATCTGGTTTCCTGCTGTAGCCTGTGAACAATCAGCATCATGCTAAGTCCTGCCCAGTGACAGGAAATTCCAGGGGTTCCATTAAATCATCAGACAGAATATCCATTCAGTAGTCATGATGAAGACTAGGAATGTTTCCTTAAAAAATAATAATACACATAATGGTAGCCAAGCTCAGACAGAATGGAAAGCAAAATATCCCTCATCTCCAGCCCCCATCCTGAGCTAGCTCATCACTCATATGGATCAGAAATTCATATCCAGACATACCCCACTGTCTTCAGCCTTAGCATATCTATAGATCCTTAAGACCATAACAATCCCTTGTGTGCAAACTTTTCCACCTGGCATGTCCCCTTATGAAAGAAAACAAAAACAAAAAAGATGATGGACGAGTGGAAAGTAAAAGAATGACAAATGTGTACCAGGCAGAGACCTTTCCTGACTGCCTTATCTAAAATAGAGACTATTTATCTTTAATTATCCTTATCCTACTTTGTTCTTTCTCACAGCATTCATCTTCACCTGATAATATATCACATACCTATTTTTACTTGTTTATTTTGTCTTCTACTTTCTAAAGAAAATGTAAGCTCCATGAGGGCAGGGATCCTGTCTTATTTCATCTTGTCTCTAGTGCCTGGCACCCAATAGGTGGTCAGTAAATATTTGTTTAATAAACTAATTTGATGTCAAAATTAAAAGAACAAGAATTATGATACTCACAGAAAAATGTGGAATAAAAGGCAAAAAGCAATAAACAAGACAACACAGGGCACTATAATGCTAACGATTAGAACACATGATGAAGATATAACTACCCTGAATTTTTATGCACCAAAAAACATACCATTGAAATTCATAAAACAAAATCTGTAGGAAATGCAAAGGTAGAGAAAAGCAGAATCAAAATGTGACACTGTTTCACCTGATGACAGAGTGTGACAGTCAAAAACTAAGATAATGGAAAATTTAAACTTTGTACACCAAAAATAGACTATACTTTTTTCCCAAGGGTCCATTGAGTATTTTTTAATTGACTATATATTGAGCCATAAAGAGTAAGTAGTACAGACCACGTTCTCCAATCAGAATACAGTAACACTAGAAATTAATAACAAAAATGAAAATTCGAAATCTCTAGTATGTAGAAAATAAACAGGGGAAAAAACCCTTCACTTTAGCCAAAGAGGAAATCTAACCTGAAATTGTAGAATACCTAGAAAATATCAATGGAAATATCAGAAGGTAGAGGATATGGTTGACTAAAGCAGTAGTCAAGAGAAAATGTGTAGCCTTAAATATTTATATTATACATAAGAATAAATTAAAACACACGAATTAAGCATTCAATAAAAGAAGTTAAGAAAAGAATTATAAAAATAAATCCAAATTAAGCAAAAAGATAATAAAACTAATGCCATAAATTAATATACTAGGAAACTAATGATAGAACTAATAATTAATTCCAAAGACAATTCTTCAAAAGACAATATAAAACAATAAAACGGATAAACCACTTGCTAATCTAATTAAAAAACATCCGAACACACAAAATTAGAACTGGAGAAATAATCGCAGTTACAGAATAAATGAAAAGAATGAGAGAATTCTTTGCTCTATTCTATAAAAACAAATTTGAAACTTAGAATGATTTTCTGCATAAACAAAAATTAACTCAACCTGATTGCAGAAGAATGAGAATATCTAAACCCACCAGTTGCCATAGAAAAAAATTATAAATTTGACCAAAAAAATAGCACAATCACATAGTCTTGTGTTAATTCTACTGATCTTCAAGGAACATATAAAAATAATGCTACTTTCACTTTCTAGACTCTGGAATCTAGACAACAGAGAGAGAAGAAAAGATTCCTGCATAACATTGATACCAAAACCCAATGACTAGAACATACATAAAGGAAAACTAGAGAACAATTTCATCTAAGAATATTGATGCAAAAATCTTAAATAAAATATTAGCAAAGAGAATTCAGGAGGATGTTAAAAATATAATACACCATGAACAAATGTGGTGCATCCCAGAAATGTAAGATTGGTTCAGTATTAGAAAATCTACTGATAAAAAAAAAAAAAGAAAACCTACTGATATCATTAACATCAATAAACCAAAAGATAACAATCATATAATGATTGTTATATGCTATATATGTTATATGCTCCCTAATGCTAAAATATATTTGATAAGAATTCAGCATCCTTTCCAAATTAAGAAAACTAACAGAAAAAGATGTCTGTTTCCACACCACCATCATTATCATCATACCTTTTTTATTAAATTTTTTTAAAAATTTCAAAATATTAAGGGGGTAAAAAAGTTTTTGTTAATAAATACACTGTATAATGCTGAATTTCGGGCTGTCAGTGTGCCTGCCACCAGGACGGTGCTCATTGTACCCAATAGGTAAGTTTTCATCCCTAACTCCCCACCCTCCCTCCTTCTTAGTTTCCAATGTCCTTTATGTCTTCTCTTTGTGCCCATGTGCACCCATTGTTTAGCTACCACTTATTACTGAGAACATGTGGTATTTGTTTTTCCATTCTTGAGACACTTCACTTAGGATAATGGTCTCTAGTTTCATCCAAGTTGCAGCAAAAGACATTATTATTATTGCATTCCTTTTTATGCTAAGTAGCACTCCATGGTATATACAACAGCTGTCTGGAAAGTATCTAGCCATAATTTTCATAATTTTTCATATTATATGGCTGGATACTTTCTGGACAGCCCTGTATAAACCATATTTTCTTTATCCACTTATGTATTGATGGGCACTTAGGTTGATTCCACATCCCACCTGCGAATTGAGCAGGTGTCTTATTGGTAAAATGATTTCTTTTCCTTTGGGTAGATGCCCAATAGTGGGATTGCTGGATCTAATGGTAGGTCTACTTTTAGCTCTTTGAGGAATCTCCATACTATTTTCCACAGAGGTTGTACTAATTTTCAGTCCCACCAACAGTGTATAAACATACCTTTTTCTCTGCA